ATTTCAAGAAATTCTCAATATTTTGAATTTCTGAGTGTACTACCTTAATAATAGAAGTAATACATAATATTAAAAATCAAGAAGTTATAAAATTATAGTAGAATTTTTTGATTTATTTAATAAACAAAATTTTTTTAACTAGACTCTTTATAAAGAAGCTTTATTTATTAAATAAAAATAATTAAACGAAGTTATTTATGTTGTCTTCCGAATTATTGTAAGAACGGAGCACATACTCTAGGACAGCATACCTATACTCTGCAAGGGAGAATTAGATGTATCGTATACAGATAATGATCCCCTTGGCAATACGTGAACGTGTGCGATTAGTCGATAATGCGAGACATAATCTTTCAATCAGCATTCAGCAATTCACCGCGGATCAACAGATAATCGTATTAACCCGGGAACACCGCTAATAAGTACCCGTACATCGTGAATGATCTAGCATGATGAATCCGTCATTGCGGCCTGCCGATAGCTAGTCAATGGACAATCCAGTGGAAGTACACGGTACTTCCTAATGGATTTGTCGTGATTAAATAGTGGAAGGGGCACAATGTATGGTCGGACGCGCGGTACGCTCTCGGTAAGTAGTAAATGGACGTTTGCAGTCGACCGCGATATAGCGTTGCTTAAGTAGTAAGGGAAAGGTTTCGATCGGACGTGCTCGCAAAGATGCCCGATTCTATATTCACATGACATATACAGTGGTGGACAAAAGAAAGTTTAAAGTCGGTATCCGTGTATATGAGTACCTATTGGTAACTAGATTGTTTTATGTTAGTCACACTGAACTACTTCGTGGCATCTCGCCACTTTAAACGACGTAGGACTTCTTTCGTTTATTTCACTTTTCTTGCATTGTTCATTAACAATCTATTTTGTTCGAAATTTCCGGCGAACAAAAGTTTAAAATACATATTTTATGATAAATTACAAAAAATTTGTTGATTTTTCTCTTTCTGTACATGTTTGTTCCTTCTAACTTGTTCATTTTTAATATTAATTATCTACATAGATATAAATGAGAAAGTAATAGAAAAAAGTCCGTCGATGTTAGATAGACGATAGTTAAGGATAGAAAAAATAAGAAAAAATAGCCTAGGATTCAAAGAAATTTCAAAAAGATACGAAATTTCCATAATAGGAGCGAAGAAAATTTGACAAATACGACAAATACGGTACTGTAAATGATTTAGTAAAATGTGGGAGACCAAGAAGATCATCGATGAAAGATAACTGGATGATAATTAAAAATTTAAATCTTGTTCATAAAAGAAATTCACGAAAAAATGGTGAGAATAAAGCTAAGGAAATTAAATGAAAATGGATTAAGAAATTCAAATTACATAGCAAGAAAGAACATAGCCTTTTATTAACTAACTTAGCTAAAAATAAAAAAGTCTATTATTTGCTAAACATTATATTACTAATTGTAAGCTCTTATCATTTTGGGAAAGTATATGGTCTGATGAATCTAAATTTGAGCTGACGAACAAAAAGAAATGAAAAATAAATAGTAGACGTTTTTTATTTTTACCAATACTCATATACACGGATACCGACTTTAAATTTTCTTTTGCCCGCCACTGTACGTCGTAATGTATATGTTATAATGTTGAGTAATTACATAAATTAATAATTACAATAACGTACATAAATGCTGAAATTATTCAACATGATTAAAGTTTCAGATCACACAAGTTACTGGCGAAAGAAATTGGCAAAAGTTTCTGATTATTGAAAGAATACATTATTTGTGAAATCTTAATTTTGATAACTTAATACGATATTGTACTTATAATTATATATCATAATAATTATAATTATATATGCGTAGTATCTTATAATTATTAATAATAATAATATGTGATAAGAACGGGAAAGTTACTTTGTAAAAGTATTTAATTACAGTTATGAGGGGTTTTTCTTTCAAAAAGTAACTAGTTACCATTACAAAAGATTTAAATTCTGAAAAGTAACATGTTTTATTCTGCTCAACGCAGCCCATATGACGGATAAGTTTGGAATATATAAAGTAACATAAAATTATTTCAAATATATGTATAAAAATAACTATTAAATTAGTTATTAGTTATCAAAGAAATGTAATTAAAGTAAGTTACAGTTATAAATGAAAAGAAAGAAACGAAGTTACTAAAAAAAGTTGACGATTATATGTATATTATTAATTTAAGAGCAACAGCAGCAGTTGTGGATAAAATATAAGAATTTTAAAGCTTAAAGCAAAAGGATCGTAAGCCTCGCCGCTGTTGAGCAGCACGCTCGGTTATACCAAATCGTTAAGTTTATGTCGTTACCCTTGGGAACGATTATACTTTCGGCGGTCGCGGTATAGTACATACGACAGCTAGTTTCTTACAAGTTGAAGTGACGACACCGTGGTTTTGCATCGAAATAAGGTTTCTGAGTTTAAATTAGAAAGGATCTGCGCCGTGCGCGCGTTGCGTTTTCTCTCTCCGAAACCGTGTGTGCGCCTCTCACGGCTATAAATAAACTCGATCTAAGCTACGATATAGACAGGGATATATCAATGTCTTCGAGAGCAGCCTGTTTTAAATGCAAATGTGCATCGCTTCTCTTGTGTCGGCAGCCTCTTGATATCGATTGAAAGCAGCTGGCATTAATTCCTAATTATTACCACTATAATCGCGTTCCCGAGTTCCTCGATAAATTAGAATATGCCTCGTCTATTTTCGTCACTCGTAGGTACGAGCGATTTATCTCTTATTAACAATTTTACCATCGGAAATTTATATTACATAATAAAATTTCTATATAAATATCTACCAGAAGCTATTTTTAATTCCTTAATTTAAAATTTGGTTGACCGAAAGTCAACCTCAATAATGTAGTCAATTTAAGAGAATATATAGATTACAAAAGCATACTTCTCGCAATTTTCTTCATTATAAGGAAAATATTTTACGTAAGTAAAATTTATATTTAATTACTACTCGACAATT